ACCTCCCCGCCCACTCAAACTCCGCCTCTCGGCCCTTCCCCCTCCCGGGCTCCTCGGGTCCCCAGCGCGCTCAGGCAGACTTCTGGCTGGCCTGAAGCAAGAGGTAAGAGCTCCTGCCGTGCGCGTCCGTCGGCTCCAAGCAGAGGCTGCGGGAGGTGGGGAGGGAGAAGCGCGCCACAGTCGCCCAACTTTCCCCCCCCGTTTCAAAGTCAGGGAAAGCGGAGGAAGCTTTGCGGACCGGTTGGAGCGCTTCACGCACACGTGGAGCTCGGAGGGGCCGGGACTCGTGGGCTAGCGTCATCTGCCAGCGTGTCCTGCGGATGTGCCGAGCGCGCGTTTACATGTGTACTCGGTGTGTCTCGAGAAACTAGGGAACTTGTTACATCGTCAGCGTGGTCTGTTACCATGGCTAGGGCATACAGAGGCTACGATTCAACCTTTGACAGCGCCATCTGCTACAGAGTAGCATGTGCCCATCACATAGAGGCGCGTTTGGTCTAGAGGGGATAAATGAATTTTATCCACAGGTTGCCCTAACAGGCAATTCATCCAATTAGTAATTATTAATTCAGTTGATATTATTGTATGCATGGGCCAAGTTGAGAGCCTCCAGAGGGGTTGGGATCAACTCCCACCTTTAACCAGCTAAACTGGATTGCAAAAACCTCTGTAGAGGATTCCAACTTTGCTGCTGCAAACGAGGGTTCCTACTTTCCATATCCTTTTTCAATTCAGATAACTTGCTCGATATATTTACTGAGTGTGGATGACTTGCTCAAGCTTGATTAGAATTGGTTAAATGTTCTGGTGTATTAATTCTAATCAAGCTTGAGCAAGTTATGTAAAGGTCTTCTACTCTAGTGGTTAAGGCACCAGGCTAGCAACTAGGGCAGGGGTAGACAACCTTGGCTCTTTTGTGACTTGTGGACTTCAATACCCAGAATTCCTGAAGCAGCCATGCTGACTCAGGAATTCTGGGAGTTGAAGTCCACAAGTCATAAAAGAGCCAAGGTTGCTTACCCCTTAATTAGAGGATGAGTGCCATGGGACGATGAATTCTAATCCTGCTTTAGGCATGAAAGCTGGCTGGGTGTCTTTGAGCCAGTCATTTTTTCTCTGCCCAGCCCAGCCCACCTCATAGGGTTGTTGTGGAGGAAAATAGGAAGAGGATGGAATATTAAGATATATTTGCTGCTGCTTATAAAAAATAATAAAGGCAGGATGAAAATAAATAAACAGCAGTTTATGCCTTTCAGTGATGCTGCCCCGAAGTGTCTTTTTCTAGCCACTTTGGCAACAAATATTTCTATCTGGGAAAGGGAACCACGTGTTGATTTTGGGCTGCATTGTAGAAGCATCGTTGAGAGGCATAAGTTACTCTGCATTGTTTTGCCTGCTTAAATCTACCCATGTGTAATAATTTCCAAATAATAATTTCCAAATACAGGCAACAGATGACACGCCTCAATACCTCTATACAGCAGTGTAGCAGTGTAGGTTGAAACTGCAACCTGTTTTGGTATGAAACCATGTTGTCAGTAAAGAAAGGCAGCTTGTGACCTGTGTGCATTTTTGTGTAGGTGTTCCTCCAAAACAGTGCCAGATCTGGAAATACAAAAATCTTGTTATTTTAGGATTATGACCCCTATTGATTTCAATTTTAGAAAGTAAAGCTAGAATCTGGAGACTAGCTGAATAGTTTTTAACTGTCTATGGATGCAGTCAGCTATTGCCTTCCTCTAGGATGCTTTTTTTCAACTTCCCATTCTGTCCCACAAGGCTTTTCCTAGTGGTCTCCCATCCAAGAACTATGCAGGTCATACTTTGATTAATTTTTGTGTCGTAATCAGCCACTAGCTGTTATGTCTTACTATCCAGTTACTTATATTTAAATAATATAAAGAACAGGCAGGTAATTGTGCATGAAAATCAGGTCTCTTTTATATTTGCAAAACACTTGTTTAAACATGAATATTTACAATGAAATTCAGCTCACGTGTCATCTTCTTTTGTGAAATTTACACAGATGTTTAGATAAGAGTATGAAAAAAGAAGTTATAGAAGCAGCCCTTGGGGAAAACACAAATTGATTGCATCAGGTTTCAGCTTGATTTACATCTTTGGTCAGTTTCCTTTGTTCAGGAGCAGTTGCCTAGAGACTCAGAACTAGTTTTAACATGGCCTTTGGGTCTTAAGTAATAACTGATTCTGAAGTTAATTAATAGCATTTTGTTGTTGATATTAGTTCACATAAGCTATTATGATGCCAATAGAAATCTGGAATGACTTTCTATAGATTCTCTGAAAGACACATGTATAGAAAGTGATCTCAGTACCCTAAAACTAGACAAATGTTCTACCATTGAGCTAACAGACTTTCTATTTACCTAAAATGTACATTCTTCTAGCCACATCCTTTGAAGTGAATTATTGCATTAAAAAAGCCCCAAACATCCAACTAAATTGATCTCAAAATTTAGTGAAACTTCAGCATCCAAACTGGGGGTAGGAGAACAATTGATAGAAGTGTATCATGTCATTGTGATGCAAAGCTTGTGATTTTTGTGTTTATGGGTAGTGTCATCATTTTTTCATCATGGTAATTAGAAGTGGATGTCTATGCTCTTAACCGGGTTTTAAAAAGATTTGTACAATATTTCTATAAGGCAATCTATCATTTTTAAACTAGTACTTTTAGAAAAGCAAACAAGTGCCAGAAAGGGGAAAAAATAGGTAAGGCCTATAAAGAGTCTCCTTATGGTGAGATGGGCAGCAAATAAATTTAATAGATAAATAAAAATTCTATATCCTTTCCCATAGCTTTCAATGGTCATCATTGAAGAAGGTGATATGGGTTCCCAAATTACTAGAATAGCAATAGGACTCAGACTTGTATACCGCTTCGCAGTGCTTTACAGCCCTCTCTAAGCCGTTTACAGAGTCAGCATGTTACCCTCAACAGTCTGGGTCCTCATTTTACTAACCTTGAACCGGTGAGAACTGAACTGCTGGCAGTTGGCAGAATTAGCCTACAATATTGCATTCTAACCACTGTGCCACCACAGCTCTAGAAGACACTTGTGTGTGTGTGTGTGTGTGTAGAAATTAAACCAGGAGAGGGTATATTTTAGTTTTGGCTCCTGATTTATGGAATAGTTAAATGGATAGAGTAAAACTCTCTTAACCTTGTCTGCAGAAGTATGCAGTCCAATACAAAAAGAGGGCCAGGGATGTTCCCCCCCATCAATATGAAATCTATGTAGCTTTCCAAAGCTGAGTTTGAATGTTTTTAATTAGATGCCAACACAAAGAAACAAAGTGGAAAATCATCCAGCAAACCCATGTATTAATCTATATGACAGAGCTAAAAAAAAACACGCAAGGCATTTATCCCAAAGTATTTCATTCCCCATGCTGCCACCAACTGAAATTTCAGGCCACAGTGACAACCGTGACAACGTCTTAACTTATTATAAGCCTGTCATCAGCTGGATATATTCTGCAGGACACAGTATAGAAGTAATATTTGTGACTGTGTGAGATGGTATTGAATTGGGAGGAGAGGGATCTTATTAAGTTGGTTGTTGTTTTCAGGCTACTCCCTCATGAAGATTGAATTGTCTTTTTTTGGCAGAGATGGAAAAAATGTAGCCCACCTCTGGAAATTAAACTGAATTATCTGGAGCACCTTAGCCTGAGGTCAGAGAGCTTGGAGTAGGACACGTAGCCGAAGGGATTTTTGCCTATCCCTGTTCTGAAGGTCCCCTTGTTGATATGGATGCCGTTTTTGTTACATGTATAGATTTTCTGTGTAAGGGTTAATTGGAAAAAGTCATAATTATTCCCAAGCTGTATTGTACAGTTTAACAGTTTAACAATACAGTTTAACCTGTATTGTACAGTTTAATCAAGTGCATGGTTAATATCAGAGAATTAATGCTTAGGACAATTTATTACTTATCATTTATTTCTTAATACAAATATTTTTCAAATGTTGCCACCCTAGAGGAGTTATTTCCACTGCTAGTAACTTGCCTTCTTGTTCCTTTTTTTCAAGGCATTTCCATTTATTTTAAAAGCTAATGATTAATTTGTTTTCCGATGAATAATTTCTATGCCACTTAGTTGGAATTCTGGTGGTTAGAATGCAGTACTACACTGCAGGCTACTTCTGCTGACTTCCGGCTGCCAGCAATTCGGTAGTTCGAGTCTCACTAGTTCAAGGTTGACTCAGCCTTCCATGCTTCCGAGATCGGTAAAATGAGGACCCAGATTGTTGGGGGCAATAGGCTGTTTCTCTAAACCACTTAGAGAGGGCTGTAAAGCACTGTGAAGCGGTATAGAAGTGCTATTGCTATTGCTATTGTTATTATATGGGCACATGATGTTAAAATTAGTCTTGTAGGTAATTTTTCATACAGTTCTGATATCTTTTAAATCCTTAGCACTTACTCGTATGACAAGTTTCGGTCTGTAAGCAGGATTCACATGCTCTAAAAAATCACAGTCTGTAGTGATTAAGGCATCAGGTTAAAAACCAGACACTGGGAGTTCTAGTTCAGCCTTAGGCACAAAACCATCTGGATGATCTGGGGCCAATCACTCTTAGCCTTAGGGAGGAAGAAATGGCAAGCTGGGTTTTCTGAAAAATCATACCAAAAAAACTTAATGAACTTGTCCAGAACTTGTTACCTGGGATCACTGTTGATTTGAAGGCACCAAGAGGGGAAAAATATATCAATGATTTGTATCAGAAGAAGGTGTTCTAACCAATCTGTGATTATGACTGCAATATAGTTTTTTGGGGTTATTATATGGGATGTGAATAGAAATAGAACATTGCATTGAAAGCATCAGATAAACTCCACAGATAAATCATTTCATGTTCTTGTAGATTATTTTTTTGTGATTTTGAGAATCCTAAAAGTTACATGAAGCTAGCTAAAGGGCAGAAACAATCCATCAATACCTGTAGTCAGATACATGCTGCAGAGTAAACGTTTTATCGGAAATAAATTTTCTAGAGGTATCTCTAGCCATTGTTTTGTGTATTAGAGGAGCTGCCACCATTCAGAAATACAGTGCATAGAGAGAAAAGAAAATGTTATGCCAAAGTAACAAGCTAATTATGAGAATGTGCCATTAGCTTATTATGGGTGTACACTTTGTTTTTCAGGGTTCCCAGAAAAGTGCTTAAAGGAACTTAATTTAGTCTTGACATGCCACCTCCAGCAGACACGGGTCTAGCACATACCCCTCCAGATGGCCAATGGGGATGGGCAGTGGTCTTTGGAGCGTTCATTTCCATTGGATTTTCATATGCTTTCCCCAAAGGAATAGCAATCTTCTTCAAAGAAATCCAGGATTTCTTTGGTACATCATACAGTGAGATTGCATGGGTTTCTTCAATTATGTTGGCTGCTACATATGGCGGAGGTAAGTAGAAGAGAGTAATCTGTTGACTTGGCTTTGACTTGTTAAAAGTTACACATCCCCCAATTAACTGTGGCTGCTATTGAAATTGGCAGGTGCAGTTTGCTCAGTCATAGTAGTCCATGGTACTGGTTTGTACCAGAATAAAATAGTTTTTCAACCAGATATTTGAATTCTTCAAATGTGATCTTATATAATCAGGTTGGGTGCAAGATGTTTTGTGTTTGCTGCAATAGTAGTTCTGGGAAACAATTAAATTTTATTTTATTTAATCTTACTAATTTATTTTAAGAGTAAAATGAATACAAACTCATACAAAACAAGAAAAAAATTAAAAAAGCTAAATGTGCGAAAAAGGGGAAAAAAAAGAAAAACAGGAAAAAAAGATACAAAGCTATAACTTCCGATCTATTTTACAGCAATTATAAGTATAATTATAACTATATTTCTTACTCTATGGTGGTCATAACATAACTCTCTTCTTTCTATAATCTATCCTGTCTAATAATCAAAACCATAAATCATAAATGAATTGTTTTTTCTGTTCCATACAAAAAGTCCATAAGGAATTCGTAATTATCAATAAACATAGATATTTTCTTTTCTCTGATCAAAGAATTCAAGTTAGTAATCTCAGCAAGTACCATCAACTTCACCAATCACTCCTCCATTGTGGGTAGTGCTGAATACTTTCCATCTTTGTGCGTACAATAATCTCACTGCAGTTATTGTGTATGAGAATAAAGTTCCATAACTTTTTTCCAACTGTTTATCCATTGATCCCAAAAGAAAAACGTCTGGTCTCAATTATATATTAATCTTTAAAACCCTCTGAATCAGTGTACACATTTGAACTCATAATTTTCTCGTTTTTTTGCACATATTACAAACATGATAAAATGTTTCTTCTTTTTCATGTTCCACTATAAATTTGAAGTGCCTTTATACATTCTAAACAATTTATAACCTGAGTTATAAAGCAATATAAACCAATGATATACTGCTGTGCAGCAATATAAGATGGGTAACTCAGTATAATTGCAAGAGAAGTATGCTGTATCCCAGATACTCCTGGAGGAGTCTCCTTTTGTAAATACAGGTCAAGTGCTATCTGGCTGCAAACATATTTGTGAAGAGCCCTTAAAAATTTAGAGTATTGAATTCCTTTTCTGAAGAATCACTTTGTGTTTTTTGCATTGATTTTGTAGCTGTGCAGGCAGAATTCTCAACTTTAACTAATGAATCATGACTGATATATCACCAAGGCCGCTGTATCCTCATGAAAATGTATAATATTAGACTAACTTTTGTTTGGTGTCTTCATTTGCACATGGGGTATTATTATGAATGAGGGTGATAGAAATAAAGATTTGCACAATAGTGTCTCATGTATGAATTTACATAATATCATCTTGCTACAGATAACCATATTATAACCACTGATAATACTGAAATATATTCAAATTAAATATTTACAAATAGGCATCATTTAATGGTTCTTTTCTGAAAAAAGTTGCTCTGAAGACTTAAATTTCTCATGCTTTTTACTTTTAAATATTTAATATTCCGTATTTCTGCTAATCATTTGAACCTTGAAAAAAAATTACCTGGTATCATGAAACTGCAGGATATAGGTAGATATGTATTATAATTCTGTGAAAGGGAAGAATACCATTTATTTTAGATTGATTAGCCACTAATTCAGATAGGATTGCACTAATTCAGACAGAATTGCAGGGTTAATGTTTGATGAAACATATTGTCATGTCAGTGCTCTTCAGAAATTTATGCTGAATATAGCAAACTGGAATAATATACAGTAGTTTCATATATAATAGGGCTGTTGCGTGTATACAGCATATAAAAGAATAATGGATGGTATATATTTTATTCCTCCTCCCTCACCACAGGAACTTTTACTCTGAGCCAATGACAAGTAGCTGTCCTTGAAAGTAGATTTCCCTCTGCAGTATTTGTGAAGTAACAAGGGGTCAAAGAACAACTAATTCAGATCTTCATACTCTTTCCAAGTATGCTCCTGTTATATATATGACAGCCCTGTTCCTTTGTCTAAGCCTACACCTCCTTACTCGGATGGGAAAAAGTAGAAAGTGGAAAGTTACAAGCATTATATTTTTAGATATGAAGTTTGAGAATTGGCAGTTCCTGTTGGCTTGAAGGACCCCAGCATAGCGAGGGCCACATATAAAAAAATAGTCTGGACCCAAAATGAGTACAATTTTCTGGGAGAGGCCTTGAGTTTTTAAGAGGTTAAATGTGTGCCAAATACTGACATGGCCTCTTAAAATTCCTCTAAAACTTATAGGAAAGGCCACATTTTGGACCCCTGCCTACTTTGATGGCATGAAGGGGTTTGCGTGGCTAATCTTCAGCACTTTTTGTGTGCGTGATTTAGAACTGATCTAATTATCAAGTCAGTGTCATCTTTTAATAATCAGATCAATAGACCTTCTCCAGAATGATCTGTCCGCAACCTGCCCCTTCAGTTCCTGGAACTGGGAAGAGGCGGTCCTTCAAATAACCTGCCCCCAAGATATGTAGGGCTCTAAAGGTGATAAGCAGCAGCTTGAATTGTACCCAGAAGCAAATTGGCAACCAGTGACACATGTGCAAGTTTGGAATTGTGTAAAACTATGCAGACCCACTGTGTTTTGAGCCAACTGAAGCTTCTGGATAGTCTTCAAGGGCAGCCCCAGGTAGAGTGCATTACAATAGTCCAAACAGAGATGACCAGGGCATGGGTGACTGTGAAAAGGGCCCATTGGTCCAGGAATGGGCATAACTGGTGCACAATATGAAGTCAGGAGTTGTGAGTCCAGGAGTTGTGAATCCAAGAAACCCCCCAGATTACACACCAGGTCTGTCTGGGACAGTACAACCCCATTCACAACCAAATATGATAATGGGGTTTTCTTTCTTACTGTTCCCAACTTTGCTGTGCCAGTCTCCATTCATGAGCAGCACGCCATTTTTGCATGTTCTGTGAATTTCAGATTGCACTCGACTAGAAAACTAAGCAACCTTTTCTATTTTTTACAGTGGTTGTGATACAAACTTAAGACAACTTAAATTGTCTGCAAAGCTCCACTGATAGTGTTCGTTCATTGACTGCATTGTACCCAAGTACTGTATTTGCTATATCCGTCCTGCCTATGAAATCAATGGCACACCTTTTTGTGTCCTGAGTATAATCTTTTGACAGAAACTGCCCAATTCCAGCCCATTTCAATTCATTGATGCCTAATAGGTAGAAGAATGAGTTAATTTTTCAATATGTTGGGTTTTCTCATGTTCATGCTTCTTACATTTTATGTTTCCACCGTAATTCTATCTTTGCAGCTTTGGATTTTCTTTTCTTGTATGTCAACATCAGCACCTGGAAGTCCCAAAAGTTTTAATCTAGCTGTATCATTAGTACAGCTGCGTTTTGAAAGATCTCAGATTTTTTCCTCAGTATCATATTGAATGCCATCTGACCTGAGTGGTTCATCATCCAATGCTGTATTGATAGTCACTTTATATATTAAGACAGTCACTTTATATGTATGGTACAGTAGCAATAGCATCAGACTTATACATGACCCCAGGGCATATTGGCTCCAACAATCTGTCTTCTCATTTTACCAACCTTAGAAAGATGGAAAGCTGAGTCAATCTTGAGCCCATCAGGATCGAACTCTAGACTGGGGGCAGAGTTTAGCCTGCATTCTAACCACTGCACCACCAGGGCTCCTATATTATATTGTCTGTACATAGGGTTTTCTTGATCAATTAAAGGAGTGCCTTTTCTTATACAATATGAAATGAACCTTGCTATTGCCACTAAAGGGATTATCTGCCTCTGGCATCTTCCTATATTGCTGCCATCCAGCAGGGCTGCCTGCTTCTTTAGCTGGGCAGCTGAAAAGGCCTTAATGCTCTTGGATAACATTGGGTGTATATATTTTTGGCATATATTTTTGGCATTCTTCTTTTATCCCTTGCCCAATGACTAGCTAATATGGTAGAACTTAGGGGGCTGATTTATATTACTGTTGGCGATTTGCTGCACATAATCACTTTTAGCTGCAATCCTAGACTTCCTGAGGTATGTTATGTATTCAGGTCCCATAGCATTACCTGTATGCCTGTATTGCTGTCAGGCTATATTAGCATTAAACCAGAAATGCTGGAAGGAGTGTCAACAGGAAAAAAAGGAAAACCCAGAGAGACAGAATTAAGTACAACCTTACTAATAGGCCTCCTGTTATTAGCTCTTTGGATCCAGCTGACATGTGCTTTGAGTATTTGGACTATCAACAAAACATAGTTTATGTGAATAGCAAAAGTAGGTAACATAATTCCCTGGTTTTCCAAATCTCATAAATGTCTAGAAATTTCCAATATCTCTAGAGGACATCTAATGGGGAAGGCATGTCCACTTCTGTGACTACAGGTAGACGTTGATTTACAACTAGTGGTGGGATTCATATTTGTGAACAACCAGTTCTCTGTGTGGATGCCACTTCCGGAAGTCCATTCTGGGCCTGGGCAACAAAAAAATTAGCTACTGATTCTGCCGAAGTGGTGCGAACCGGCTGAATCCCACCACTGCTTACAACCATCCATTTAGCAATTGATCAGAGTTACAACGGCACTGTAAAATTTGGTCTATAACTGGTCCTCACACTTATGACCGTTACGGTATCGCCACTCTCACTTGATTAAAATTTGGGTGTTTGGCAACTGGCATGTATTCACAACGACTGAGATATCCTGGAGTCATGTGATCGCCCTTTGCAAACTTCCCAGTCAGCAGAGTCAATGAGAGAAACTGGATTCGCTTAATGACCGCATGATTCACTTAACAACTATAGTGATTTGCTTAACAACCATGACATAAATGTCAGGTGTGAATCATTTAACAACAGTCTTGCCTAGCAATGGAAACTCTGATGCCAGCTGTGATCATAAATAAAAGGCAACCTGCTTCTTTGAATAGT